GCTGGGGGGAGAGGAAGGGAGGAGAGGGGAGGGAAAAAATATGGGGAAGGGGCTTGTGCGGAGGGGAGGGGAGGAGGTCAGGAGGAGAAGAAGAAGATGAAAAGGGAAGGCACCAAGGGACAGGGGTGCAGGAGAGACAAATCCCAGGGGGGCAAGTGCAGACAATGAGGAAAAGGGCAGGAGGGGAGGTGTCAGTGGGAAGGGGGACAGGGTGATGCTGGGAGAGGAGAGGGTAAGGGAACTGGGGGCTAGTGGGGGAAGGGGGAAGTGCTGGGAGAAGGCTTGAAAGAAGGAGTGGGCATGAGGAAGGCAGATATGGAGCAAGGCATGTGTAAGAGCACAGGGGCATGAAGGGAACGGGCATGAAGGGAACGGGCAGAGGGTGGTGAGGGGGTGGGTATCAGGGAAAAAGAGAGCAAAGGGAGCAGGAGCAGAGAGGGAAGTGGGAGGCACCAGGAGGGTGCAGGTGCCAGGGGATTCTGGGGGTGAAGCAGAAGGGCAGACACCTGCAGGGGAGGTACCAGCATTAGAGGAGAGAGGCAGGGCAGGTGTGTACAGGAAGGTGTTAGGAGCAGGGATGAGGAAGGGTAGATCACATGATCAGAGTGGGGCTATTGGAGGAGTGGGCACAGGGTGTTGAGAAGGGATAGTGGAGGGGGGCAGGTCTCAGAAGGCTGAGGGCAGTGAGAAGGGCAGAAGTCAGGACAGCAGAGGAGGGTGAGGGGTTGGGGGGCAGCAGGTTCCAGGGGAACTGATGGAGCAAGGGGAGGAGACATGGCAGCAGAGGAAAAAAGTAGAGGTTTATAAGATATTTATTAATAACTTATTAGTAATTACTGTTCTTATTCTTATTAGGAATTTATGCTATTAAAAAAAACTTTTTTGGGGGGAGGGTGGCGAGTCCCTTTTTTGTCTGGCAAGTAGGGTTTTCCATAATTTTTTGCGCCCTGGGTATCCCTAACCTCTTTTTATCAGATGCAGGGAATGGGCATCAGTGGATGGATCACTTGGGGTGTGTCTACACAGCACCATAACTCAAAATAAGATACTGTACACAATTTGAGCTATGCAAATTGCTTATCTTATTTCAATGCTGTTTCAAAATAGCTTATTTTGTCATTTTGGTGCTGTCTACACAGTGCCAAATTTCAAAATAAAGAGCTATTCTGCAATGCCCCTTACTCCTCACAGAATGAGGTTTACAGGGACGTTGGAATAGCAAGCCCAAAATAACAGGCTTGCTGTGAAGATGTGGGATAGCGATTTTGGGATACTCTGCTATCCTGAAATAGCATTGCTTTGTAGATGTATCCTTTGAAACCTCATTCATTCCCTCTGGGGCACCTGGAATTGGCCACTATCAGATGACAGGCCTTTGATCTGACCCAGTATGTCTGTTCTTATATTCTTATGTTCATAACTGCCTCTGGCCTGTGCGTTGGTATTTGCCTGTCACTATCCTACCTAAACATTGGTGAAATGTGATCTTTAGAAGTTGGCTTTAGAGTGCATATCAGTGAGACATAAAAGTCCTGGTCCCTAGAGACAGAAACTCAGATCTCTGCTAGTATATCACCAAGTTGGGGTGGAAGTGAAATCTGTAAATGTTTGCCTACTTGATATATAGTAACCCCCTCAATATCTCTCATTCTCCTGGCCCCCGTCCAAAAGATTCATTTCAACTCTGAAGCTGGTTTTAGCTGTGGATCAGTCTTTTTTTTATAGTTTTTTGAAAGGTGTATTACATTCTTAAATCATCCTGTTTGCTTCCATGCATGTGGGAATAAACACCAACAGGAACCAAATTTAAAATTCTCCTTAAATGTGAATAGACCACCTTCAAGGAGAATTATTGTTGCTTAGTTCTAGAGGTTTTTGACCCTAAAATCTGTTTGACTAGTGACTTGAAACCAAGCCATATAAAGTGATAGGTCAGTAAGTTATCTGAATAGAATGGTTCTATAGTTTATGCTGAAGGTAGTCGTGCATTGTGTTACAAGATAACAAAGAGTTCCAGAATGGAGCAATGAATGGTGAACCTAGAGAAGGAACAGGACAGTTA